TCTTCTACCCGAGCCGCTCCTCGCCATCCCGCGGACCCGCGGACCCGCGCAGCGCGGCCTGGCCCCGCCTCCCGCCTCCCGCCCGGGGCCTCGCTCCGGGGGCCCGCGCCACGTGGGGCTGCCGGGCCGTGCTGCCCCCTGCCGGCCAGAGCCGGGAGGCGCGGAGGCCGGCGCCGCACCTGGCCGCCCGCGGCCGCTCTAGGAACGCAGGCCTCTCGGTGGTGGCGCGGGGTCGCCGTCGCGCGCCCAGGAAGGGGCCGTCCCAGAAATGCCCTGGTGGGCCGCGCGGTGGCCCTACCCCCAGGGCAGTCCCGGAACCGTGTTGCTGCGCCCCGAGACCAGCCCGTTCTCCCGCGTTTTCTTGTCTCCTCCCGCGCCTGGCCCGATGGGGCCCGCGCTTTGTGCAGATGCGAGGCTGGGAACCAGGTGGTGCGGACACAAAGGGCGGGCCTCAGGGCTGCGCAGCGTGCGACAGAGCTAAAACGAGCCCCACCCCGAAGGCGCAAAGCCACTGCGGAGGACAAGGGTACAAAGCAATGCGAGGGGACCATGAAGGGAGGATCTCTGGAATTTACCCGAGAGTCAAGGTTCAAAAAACCCTTTCCTGGGTAGCAGTTCATTTTAACGACTGTCCTCAAGCTCTGGTTACTTAAGTTAGTGGCAGATGCATTTACACCATGTGCAGGTGGACGGGCCTTGAGAAGAGCCCCGGACCTCTGCAGGTTCTTGAAACATTTTCATGTGGTTGTCAAGTTATGTCCAAGAGGTGGACTTGCCCAGTCAAAGAGTGTGGACTTTTTTTTTTAAGGCTTTTGATGCGTATTGCCAAACCCGTCTCCAGAAGGTCCCCAGTTCACACTTGTTCTTTGGTGGGTACCTGCAGGCAGAGATGAAAATTGGGAAGGTGGCCTCCTGAGGGGGAGGGGTGGGGTGGACGCTGAGACTTGGGGGTAAAATCCAGAATATCCTGAGGGCCCCCCAGGCTCTGCCTGCCTTCCAGCCCTACCTTGGGCTGGGTATTAGGATATTAGTTAACTTCCTGTGGCTGTTGTTGCAAAGTACCACCGCCTGGATGGTCATACACAACAGAAATTTATTGGCCAGAGGTCCCGAATCAAGGTAACATCAGGGTTGGTTCTCACTGGAGGTTTTGAGGGAGAATCTGTTCACCGCCTCTCACCCAGCTTCTCGTGGGGGCCAGTCATCTTTGGCGTCCCTTGACTTGGAGACACATCACTCCCGTGTCTGCTTCCCCTGTCACCTGGCTTTCTCCTTGTGGGTCTCTATCTCTGTGTCTCTTTTTATAAGGACAACAGTCATATTGCATATTGCACCACCTCCGGTATGACTTCATCTTCATTTAGTTCATTACATCTGCTATGACCCTATTTTCAAGAAGGGTCACATTCTGAGGATCCTGGGAGGGCCTAAGTGGGAAGACACTATGCAACCCACAGGAGGCCGTGTCCCTGACCCCAGTGCCCTGGCCCTCTTGCCACAGGTCTAGCTCAGGCTCCACCCACACTGCCTGGCCCTCCTGGGCTAACCCGCTCATTTCCCTTCCTCCCGCAAGATGTTGTGGGAATGTCACTTACTCAGAGAAGCTCTCCCAAACCCCACAGACTAGGGTCACCCTGCCCTGTTGTGTGGGCTCACGGCACGTACCACAATGCTTTATTGAAGAAATATCTGAGTCACAGTATGTCACACTCCCACGTGCCTCCTTGGCTAGAATGGCGCCCCCATGGGGACAGAACATGATGACTGGATAAACAATAGCAAACCTAAATTCATGGCCAAGGAGGCTTAAGGACTGCCTCAGGGAGCCTGTCACGATAGGACAGGCCAGAGATGACAGGTTCTGGGTCAAGTCCTCTGCAGAGAGCCCATGAGGAAAGCCCGTGTACATGGAAGGACACGGGCCTGCATTCAGTCCAGGCTCCACCCTTCCTGACATGGCAATGAAATAAAACCTACTGCCTATAAAGCCCTATGCACTGTGACCTGCCACCCCTCTGCTTGATTCTGTCCTGCTCTGTCCCTGTCCTTCGGCCACACTGGTGCTGTTTAAGCGTCACGATCCTGCCTAGCTAGTTCTGCCTTAAAACCTGGGTGATCATTCTACCCACAGCCTGGAATGTTCTGCATCCAAATTTGTACACACTGGGTTCTTATTAGTCAGCCTTCAGCTCAACGTGTCACTTCTTGAGCACCATGTGTCACTCACCCATCTTTCATCACACCACCCTGCTTTATTTTCCGCACATGTTTTCCAGTGTCTGCGATGGTCTCGTTCACGTGGTTGTTTGCATGCCTGTTCCCTTCACCTCTCGGACAGAAGCTCCATGAGGGCAGGGACCGTGTTGGTTTGCCTTGTTCACTGCTGAGCCCTCGGTGACTCCCACAGAACCTGGGTTGCAGTGAGTGCTTACTGTTTGATGAAAGAATGAAAGTTACTTAAGCCTCGGAGTGTCTGTTTCTTCATCTATAAAAAGGAGGCGGGGTAACCTTGGCTACTACATGGGAGACAAGAGTTTCACCAACTTCAAAGGGTTCCTGGGTGGCAGAGGTCCATGCGGTGCCTCCGACATAGTAAATACTCAACGTATCTGAGTATTTATTACCTTAGATTGACACACATTATAGGTTGATGCACATCCTAACCCGGAGGGGAACCAGATGGCAGATGAAGCTATGAGGCTGTGTCCTCATCTGCAGAAATGGAAATAATTATTCCTTCAAAAGCTTGAATGAGTTCTATGTAAATTATCGTGCACATTTCTCAAACGAGCATTCCACAGATGCTTTCCTTCATGAAGCAATCGCTTACTAATTATGTCAATAGGAAGTGGTACTGCTTGTCATTCCTAGGAGGGGAATATGCTTAAATTTGTAGTATTTACTGATTTTTCTGATTTTGAAAGTAGCTCATTTTATGCAGAAACTTTGGAGACTGTTGAGGAGTATAAAGAAGAAAGTTGAAGGAGTCCCCCATAATCGCCCTATTGATTCCCAGCCCTCACCTCTATGCCATGGAGCAAACAAGGCAAACGCAGGGGCCTCGGCGACGCCCCGCGACGCCAGCAGGCCGGTGGCAGGGGCCGCCGAGCAGGTAGGTCATGCCTGCCTTTCATTAAATCTGCACATACACTGGGGTGAGCCTCCAGGTCTGCCTTCCAGGGGCTCGGTCCGGGGGGCTGTTCTCAGTCTGGTGTTTTAGTAGATGGCCTGATATTTACTAGGACAAGTCCTCCAAGGCTGCTCTGTTATTGTCAGTTTTCTCAGCTTCCGACCTCTGTTTTGTTTGGGGGAGTAAACGCTCCACCTTTTGTGGATGAAGCCTGTCTTCCATTTATGTCTCAGGTAAGGGGTCAGTTTAAAAAAAGACAGACTTGAACTAGATAAAGGACTAAGGGTGGTTGGGTGAGGAGAGCAGGCGGCAGGGAGGGCAGGGAGTGACGTCAGAGAATAGTGGGAAGAGGAAGGACGCGACGAATGAGAGAGGAGGGCAGAGAGGATGGATGGAGGACGGACGAGGCCACAAGGGGGGCCAGGCCCTCAGACCCCAGGGTTGCTGTGGGGAAGGGCTCCAGACCACCTCCCTGGACCCCTGCTGTCTCCTGCTGTGAGCAAAGGATTATAACCAAATCATCACCGACTCTTGGGGAAGAAAGTGGGTTGGGATTCCCATGAGAAAAACCAGTTTGGAATGACAGTGAGACATGAAGCGGAAGACTCAGCAGCTGTGATGGTTTATAGGGTCCGGGTGTGGCTGTGTAAGTATAAAGGTGTGAGTAAAGAAGACCTCACAGCTGGGGGTATAGCTCAGGGGTAGAGCATTTGACTGCAGATCAAGAGGTCCCCAGTTCAAATCTGGGTGCCCCCTGTGCCTCACTTTTGCCAAGACTTCAGGCTCCCACCAGCCTTCCCTAGTCTGGGTGGCTCCCTGGTCTCCTCTAGAGTAAAATTGGGACCCACCCTGTCCTGCTGCACCCTGGTTGCTCTTCCCTCCTGACTCTGTGCCCTCTGTTGAGAGATGCCTTTCGACTCTTATTTCATCCTCACAGGAGGCCTACAAGATGGGTGTTTTCATCAATAGTCACCACTTACAAGAGAGGAAACCAAGGCAGGTCTAAAATTCTAAGATAAGTAACTCCTGGGATGTGAAGTACAACAGGCTGACTCTAGTTAACGATGCTGTGTTATGTATTTGAAAGTTGCTCAGAGATTAGGCCCTCCAAGTTCTCCTGAATGTTAACTAGACTGAAGTGATTTCTTTTTACTTTGTTGGGTTGGGTTTTTTTTTTCAGTTTTATGGTGATATAATTGATGTGTAACATTGTAGAAGTTTGGATGTACAACATAATGATTTCGTATATGTATGTATTGCAAAATGATCACCACAATAAGAAGTCTTCGTTTTTTTCTGCATGCTAGTTTGTACATTTTCGATTCCGTGCCACGCAAAGACATTATCACACAAAAGCGAATGAATTCACAAACTTAGAACACCTCAGTTTGCATGCTGTGACTTCCAGAAGCTTCTGTCGGGTCCTCACAAGGCTCTGGCTACAGTCCCCTCTCCGCTTTTCTGGGCAACCCCATTATGAAAGGGGGAGAGGCTGCTGGTGGTCCCAGGGCAGGGGAGGGGCTGGCCCTGAGGCAGCAAAGCCCCAACACCCATCCTCAGAGGTCAGCTGCGTTGAAGCAGGATGAGCGGTGGTCTCTGAGTTCTTGATTCCATCACTTCCTCTTTGTGACTGGGGGCAAGTTGCTTCAGTTCCCTGTGTCCCTGTCATCAGTGATGAGGGTGGTGACGGTGGTGGCGGTCCAGGCAGCACTACCGCAAATCATTTTTAAATTCATGTATGTGAAGCGCTTAGAACAGTATACCTCACACATCGTAAGTGCTCAGTGAACATCAGGTGTCATAGTCATTACAGGTGTCCTGGGTGTGGCTACCCAGTGGAGAAGTCCTGGCGGTGGCCCATTCACTCCAGCAGGGGGTGTGCTCAGGGGTAGAGCGTTTGACTGCAGATCAAGAGGTCCCCAGTTCAAATCTGGGTGCCCCCTGAAATTACCACAAATTTCCATTTACTCTGCCGGGCTTCCTGGTGATGTGTCTCTGCGTAGCCGGTATGGGTACCTTCCCTGATCGCGCCTGCCATCGGTCTACAGATGGCCTGCAGGGACTTCGAGTGTCTGTACCTCCTGGGGGACTAGGGCGGGGTGGTTCTGCCTTTGTTTATACAAAGTTAAAACTTCTTGCATAAACAAAACTCACAAAGAAACGGAAAGAACCAAGCATTTGTTTTACACTTTCTGTATTAACTATATTCCAACGGCACCAAATAGCCTATGAAAAAAACTGAGTCGATATAGATCGGGAATTAGAATAAAACCGGTTGCAACTCTTAATGAAAGAGTGGATGTAATAAGCGATATCGCCGGTGCGGCTCAAGCCGCGCGACGGGCGTGGACGGGGGAACGTGTCCTGAGGGTAACGCCGCCTGGGCGCAGCGGCTAATCGTGAGGAGGGCGCGCAGGCGCTTGGTTAGACATTGTCTGGGGGCGTGTTTGGGAGGGTGTTTCTGGGCGAGACTGGCTGGTGCCGTCCACTGCAGGGAGGGCCGAACAGAACAGAAAGGCGGGGGCAGGGAGAGCTCGCTCTCTGCCTGTGTGTGGCGCCCAGGCGCGGTCTCCTGCCTCGGACGGGAGCCTCGCCATCCATCCGCCCTGGTCCTCGGCCTCGAGGCCCTGATCTGAGCCTCACCTCCGCCGTCCTGGGCTGCGCCGCGGCCAGCGGGCTCGGGCCGCCGCGGCCGCCGCGGGCATGCGAGCCAAGTCCTTATTCTCTCTCTTTCTCTCAAAGATATAATTTATATAATTGGTTATATAAGTTATATGTGTATATAGTCAGTTATATAAAATGATAAAAAGTTATACAAATGTATATATAATTGGTTATATAAATTATATATGTATATAATCAGTTATATGAAATCATATATAGTTATGCCAATTTATAGAATTGGTTAAATGGTATCTATATACAATCAGTTATATAAAATTGTGTGTGTGTGTGTGTGTGTGTGTGTGTATTTGGTTCTGTTTCTCTGGAGAACCCGGACCCGCATACTGGAGAGACAACAGCATTTTTATGTATTTGAGATTTTCCATAGTACAAGGAGAAAAAGCTGGCTTTCTCATAGATACATATTTTTACAGACCACAAAGGAGACTATGCTAATTATAAAACACTGCTTTCACTTTCTGGTTCAGATTTGGTTTTGCATTTTACCGTAAGAAACTGATTTGGCGTTTGAGGGGGGAAACTTCTCGTTGGTCTCAGCGCCCCGGAGACAGGCTGACACCTCCAGGAGCCGCTTTGCTGAGCAGCGAGGAGAAGGCGAGGCGCACACGCAGAGCCTGTCGCGGAGGTTTCTGGCACATTAGCATTGTCACTAGCAACGCGGGGCTCGGTGACAAATGCGGCCGCCTCGGCAGGCACCAGCTGCTGGGCCGGGGGGCTCCTCCCTTGGGCGTGGCGGGGCACCGCGCTTGCCTCCAGCGTCTCCAAGGGAATCCCACTTTCATTCACATTTGGGGTGAAACCAGAGGGCACTATCACCCTGTAAAAGTGAAACTAGAATCGGCACGCAGTGTAGGACTGGCCCTGGGAAGTGACGTGGAAAGACGTGTTTACCAGCAGAAACCCTCAGAGCGGCTTCTCCCAGGACCGTAAGAGTGAGCTGTGACCGAACTAACTGCATCATAACCAGGCAGCCTTGCGCCAAGGGCGATGAACTGTTCTCTCCCGAATATCGGAGAAGGACAGCCAGACAGGAAGGAATTGGCCGATGTTTGTCTAGCGCCGCCTCACAGACGGGACCCGATTCGATCTGTGTTTTAGAAAGAACTCCTGCCACGTGGTCGCAAGTTTTAGTTCTGGAAGTTGACTGTCAAGGGTTCCGAATTTCTCGGAGCTTCTCCCCCTGTAAACTGGGGACAATCATTGCCCCTTTCGGGGCGCGACGTGAAGACAAAAGGAGACAACTCTTGGCAAGTGTTTAGTGACAGCCACAGGGCGGCCTGTGGCAGCCGCCCGGAAGGCCGGGAAGAACGGGGTCAGGGAGGGGGCGGGGAGACGGAGGGGTCTTCTCGCAGTTCAGGTGCGGCGGAGCGTAACAGAGGGGGTCACTACGCGCCCCGGGCTGCCCCGCCCAGCCCTCCCCCGTGCAGCCAGGGGGGGTCGTCTGCCTGTAACCCCCCAGGGAAGGGACCGCCCTGTAGAACGCCCACTCAGTCCTCAGCTTTCACATTCCAACAAGCTGAGTGCTGGGCGACTGGGAGTAAGGCTCGCACCAGAGCAGGAAACACTGTCCCAGAATGGGACGGCCACGTGGGACGAGCCCGCACCGCATGGGCGCGGCTGGCCATCGCCCGGCAACCGAGCAGGAGATGCTGGGAGCACCACTGTGAGATCAGAGGGTCCCGCACTCACAATGTGACCAAGAGGACGTGGAGGACCAGGTGCCCCCCCAACCCCGCACTGCGGCATCCAGAACGTCCCTTCAGAACTCAGCTGTGACACGGGGGAAATTGTGGGCTCGCCCCAGGGTTGGGTTGTTACATTTCTGCCACTTAGCAGAATGGGACACAAATCTGAGGTCAAGTTGGTTTGCAGAAATATTAAGTTCCACACCTTCAACCACTCAATTGGTGGACGGAGATTTGTGCATAGGAAGCAGGCAGGTCACAGAGCCGAGACATTAGTTGGAGCTGAAGGGATGCGTGTGGTCAGGGCACGGAGTGACAGGACTCAGTGACCTGGAAGGAGCGAGGACGCTGAGATTCCCAGCTCTGTGCATGGGAGAGTTCCGGGCTCTCGAGAACGGCCAGTATTTTGGAACAGGAATAGCTCATAAAAATTTTCTGGGCCTGAGAAAATACCCTCAAGAGGATTCAATTCCAATTCCATTTGCTCTGGCTGCAACCATAAGCAACCCTCTGATAGCTCATTTGGTTTCCCGGGTAACCGGGAGGGCTTTCTGGCTTAAGTGTTGTCTTGGAGAGTCAGCTGAGGGAGGCCTTGCGAGTCAGATCAACGCAGGTTGCATCCAGATTCAGGGTCTGGGGCTGTGAGCCTGGGAGCCACGCTCCCTACCTTGATGGCTGTGCCAGTTCCGGATTTTTGGATGCTTTTCTGAAGCTGATCGTTAACACTCCAGTGAGGGGCCAAGTGAACATTGTAACGTGGCAGGAGCACAGGGGCCGGGGGGGCAGGGGGGAGGGGATGAAGAAGTGAAGGGGCGAGCCCAGGAGACCCACCAGCACTGAGTCACCACCGAGGACCGCGGCCCTGAGCCACAGCCACAGCCACAGCTCACAGTGATGGCCTTGCGCCTGGAATGTTCGCTTTTAGGAATCGCTCCCAGGGAAATAATCTGAGGCTGGGCGGAGAGGGGTGTTCGTGGTCATCAAGGTCTTTAGAGTCCTGGGGTGGGGAATCATTGGCTTGCCCACACTCCTTTTTTTTTAAGGAAAGGCAGACTGCCACATGCCGCGCCTCATGGAGTCCCAGCGGCTTGACAAACCCACCTTCTCCTATAAATGGGCCTCGAGAGCGTGTGTGCAGGTTCTAGCAGGGTCACAGCTCCCCGGACACCCTTGGCCAAAGAGCTGCCCTCCTCCATCGGGGTAGGCCAGCCTCCCTTCAGAATAACCTAAAATAAAGAGCAGGAATCTTACCCCATAGTACAGTACTACACGAGTAAGAGAGCCTCAAATAGTGCAATGGAGCTCGGGGTGAGAGACTGTGCGAGTGTGAAGCAGGAGAACCTTTGAGGTCGGAGCAAGGGCTTGGTGTCCAGGCCCAGGCCTCTAGTGACGCTAACATCTAGGTTGATCCCTGCCCACTCCTCTTCCTCCAGAAAGTTGGGGCTGCAGCCGCCTGAGCCAGGCGCCTCCCCTGGGGTAAGCCAGGCTGCTGGGAGCTGCGGGTGGGTCCCAGGCCTTGGTCCCTGGGCTGGGCAGCCCAAACAGAGAGTGGGAGGTGGAGGGAGAGAGGGAGGGAGAGAGAAAAGGAAAGAGGGAGAGAAAGAGAGAGAGAAAGGGAAAGGGGGGGAGAAAGGGAAAGAGAAAGGGAGCAAAAAAGGGAAAGAAAGAGAAAGGGAAAGAGGGAGAGGGAGAGAGAAGGGCAGAAAGGAAACATCGCAGACATTGAGAGAACGGTAGAATTCCTCCTTAGCCAGCAGTAATCACCGTCACAGCTACAGCGAGGGGGGAGGTGAGGGGAGCTCCGAGAAGAGGGCCGTTCAGGTAGACACAGGCGCACAGACCCCGAGGAAAGGGAGCTGCTGCCGACAGGCAGGGAGATGAGTGCCCAGAGCAGCAGCTCACGCAGTGCCCCAGGGGGACGCGGGATGGTGAGAGCAGAGCTTAGGAAAGACTGCAAGTATGAAAGCATCCGGGGTACAGCTCAGGGCTAGGGCATTTGGCTACAGATCAAGGGGTCCCTGTGCAAATCCAGGCGCCTCCTATGTCATGTGACTTTTACTCCAGGGCATGTGGAGCTCCTTGCTACCCCACTGGCCCAGGCTGGGGGATGTGAATTTCCAACACGTGGTAGAGACTGATGTGTCTCTCTTGTGACCCTCCTCATGCCTTTATTTTTACCTCCTCCATCACATTCACTTGCCAGAGGGGTAGAGGCAGCCTGTCCTAGGCTTTCTCTGTGTTTCCCTGGTGCCTAATGACTACCAACCTGATTTTATTTGTTTATACCAAGCTTGCTTCAGAAAAATAGGATCTGAGGCAACCTGCAATAAAAGACGCAATAAAAAGTCCAAGTGATCGAGCAAGTATGAAAAGCCAAGGGCTGACGTATCCAAGTCATAGAGACAGAAAGAATCGTGGGTGCCAGGGCCTGGGGATCTGAGGATGGGAAGTCATTGATCAATGGGGACAGGGCTTGGGTCTGGGAAGATGACAAATTTCTGGAGGTGGATGGTGGGAGCAGTCGCACAGCATCATGAATTACTTAACACCACTGAGCTGCACGCTGAGAAATGTT